AAACCCTAATTAGACACCACTTAGAATACTATGTGCAGATTTGAGCACCACACCCTAGGAAGGGATGGAGGCAGGGAATTCAACACAGATTTATAAGAATGGTACCTGGACTTCAGGGGTTAGGTTATTAAGACAGATTAAACAAATTAGGCCTTTATTCTCCAGAATTTAGAAGGTTAAGGGGTGATCTAATTGAAGTGTTCAGGATATTAACAAGGAAAGGCAGGATAGATAAACTACTTCCACTGGTGAGGATTCTAGAACTAGGGTCACAGTTTAAGAGTCAGGGACAGGCCATTCAGGAGTGATATTAGAAAGCTATTCCACACAGAGTGGTGGAAGTTTGGAACTCTCTTCCACAAATGGCAGTCAATGCTAATTTGGTTGTTAAATTTAAACCGGAGGTAGACAAACAAATTTTTATTAAGGAAGGGTATCAAGGGATATGGATCCAAGTCAGGCATAGTGAGTTAGGCCACAGATCAGCCATGATCTTACTGGATGGTGGAGCAGGCTCAAGGGGCTGAATGGTTTATTTCTGTTCTTTTGTTCCCTGCAGCACTTCACTCCCGGTCTCCGTCTGTCCCTCACACACAGTTTCTGGCCTCTCTTTTTGTTGCAGCGAGGAAGAATTCCCTGGTGGATCATTTCTTTTCAGTGTCCTGTTGCCTTGCGTTAATTTCAATGCACACTAGTGGAATATTGGTGAGATGGTGGTTGAGCCGCAGGATGACATGTTTACATAGGCAGTTTACATGATAAAGATGGAGTCAGGAACCTTTAATGGTAAAGTAGAAAAGGATATTTTAAATCAATCGTGTGTCTTAAGATCACAGGATTATAGCAAGGAATAAAAGATGAATACAGCCCAGATCCAAATAAAATCAGCAAATACCTGTTCCACGTTACCTCATGTATGGCAGAACCACCCAGTCACGCTGGGAGCAGTGGTTGACTTGTTGAGCCCAGTGTCACATCCCATAGTGGTACTAGTCCACTAGTCTGCAACAATCAACCAGCCAACCTGTTTAAGCAAATGCTATAAGCTATGTAACTGCTGCCAGTTTATCTTTCAGAACCCACAATCAATGGTATGTAAAATCATACAGACATACAGCATGGAAACATACCCTTTGGTCTGACTCGTCCATGCCGATCAGATATCCTAGATATCCTAATTGTACCAGCCTCCAACACTTCCTCTGGCAGCTCATTCCATACATGCACCACCCTCTGTGTGAAAAAGTTGCCCCTCAGGTCCCTTTTAAATCTTTCTCCTTTCACCTTAAACCTATGCCCTCTAGTTTTGGACTCCCCCCACCCTGGAGAAAAGACCCTATCCATGCCCCTCATGATTTTATAAACCTCCGAGGTCACCCTTCAGCTCCGATGCTCCAGGTAAAATAGCCCCAGCCTATTCAGCCTCTCCCTATAGCTCCAACCCTCCAGCCCTGGCATCATCCTCATAAATCTTTTCTGAACTTTTTCAAGTTTCACAACATCCTTCCTATAGCAGGGAGACCAGAATTGCACACAGTATTCCAAAAGTGGCCTAACCAATGTCCTGTACAGCCACAACATGACCTCCCAACTCCTATCCTCAATGCACTGACCAATAGAGGCAAGCATACCAAACACCTTCTTCGCTATCCTATTTACCTGCGACTCCACTTTCAAGAAACTATGAACCTGTACTCCAAGGTCTCTTTGTTCAGTAACATTCCCCAGGACCTTATCATTAAGTGTGTAAGTCCTGCCCTGATTTGCCTTTCCAAAATGCAGTACCTCACATTTATCTAAATTAAACTCCATCTGCCACTCCTCGGCCCATTGGCCCATCCCGATCAAGATCCTGTTGTACTCCGAGGTAACTGTCTTCACTGTCCACTACACCTCCAATTTTGGTGTCATCTGCAAACTTACTAACCATACCTGCCTATGTTCACATCCAAATCATTTATACAAATGATGAAAAGCAATGGACCCAGCACCTATCCTTGCGGCACAACGCTGGTCACAGGCTTCCAGTCTAAAAAGCAACCCGCCACTACCACACTCTGTCTTCTACCTTCGAGCCAGTTCTGTATCCAAATAGCTAGTTCTCCCTGTATTCCACGTGATCTAACCTTATTAACCACTCTACCACGAGGAACCTTGTCGAATGCCTTACTGAAGTCCATATAGATAATGTCCACTGCTCTGCCCTCATCAATCCTCTTTGTTACTTCTTCAAAACAACTCAAACAAGTTCGTGAGACATGATTGCCTTTCCAAATACATATAAATGCTATCCCTCAGGATTCCCTCCATCAACTTACCCACCACTGATGTCAGGCTCACCAGTCTATAGTTCCCTGGCTTTTCCTTACCACCATTCTTACATAGTGGCACCAGTTAGCCAATATCCAAGTCTTCCAGCACCTCACCTGTGGCTATCAATGGTACAAATATCTCAGCAAGGGGCCCAGCAATCTCTTCCCTCACTTCCACAGAGTTCTACGGTACACCTGATCAGGTCCTGGGGATTTATCCACCTTTACGTGTTTTAACACGTCCAGCACCACCTCTGTAATATGGACATTTTTCAAGATGTTGCTATTTATTTCCCCACAATCTATCTTTTATATCCTTCTCCACAGTAAACACTGATGCATAATACTCGTTTAGTATCTCTCCCATCTCCTGCAGTTCCACACATAGGCTGCCCTGCTGATCTTTAAGGGGCCCTATTCTCTCCCTAGTTATCCTTTTGTCGTTAATGTATTTATAAAATCCCTTTGGATTCTCCTTAATCCTATTTGCCAAAGCTATCTCATGTCGCCTTTTTGCCCTCCTGATTTCCCTCTTAAGTATACTCCTACTGCCCTTTTACTCTTCGAAGGACTCACTCGATCTCTGCTATCTATACCTGACATGTGCTTCCTTTTTAGTAACTCGACTATCAGGAAACACTGTATTCACTTTAACCACCACCTCTATTAACAGTCTGCACTGAACTTTAACAAGTTCAAATGAATGACCCAGAAATTGAGAGGGTCAGCTTAACGCAACAAACCAGTTGGGTTTTGTTTCCACACTTCCACGAATCAGATCTGCCATTTGAGAGATTCATTTCCAGGCAAGTTTCAAACTGGCTGTGGCTTAATTAACATCTGCTCCAACTCATAACATCATTCCCAAGGTACCAGCCCCCTCCTATGGCTCTCAGAGAAAACGCACATAAACACTGACACCCCTCCATCAATCTGTAGCCCATCCCCACCACAATAAACTCAACACAGCACCAACATTTAGCTCACAAACAAAATGACACTTCTGTCGCAACCAAACACATTCACCTCTCAAACACAAAATGTACAAGCTATTCCCCAGATGAATACAGCTCCAAAAACACAAAAAGCTCGATACCATCCAGGACAAAGCAGTCCCCGCTTGATTGGCACAACATCCACAAACATCCCACTCCCTCCACCACCAATGCCTCAGTAGCAGCAGTGTGTACCTTCTACAAGGTCCACTGCAGAAATTCACTTTGGCATGTTAAACAGCACCTTCCAAATCTTTGATCACTACTGTCTAGAATGACAAGAGCAACAGATTATGTGAGAACACCACTCCCTGCAAATTCCCCTCCAAGCCACTCACCATCCTGACTTGGAAATATTTTGCCATTCCTTCAGCGTTGCTGGGTCAAAATCCTGGAACTCCCTCCCTAAGGGTCATTGTGGGTCAACCTACAGCACATGGACTGCAGCGGTTCAAGAAGGCAGCTCACCCCCACCTTCTCAAGGGGCAACTTGGAGTGAGTAATATATGCTGACCCAGTCTGCAAAACCCACATCCCATGAAGAATTTAAAAATGGTCCCAGCATTTCTGTCCATTGTTTTCATGCTGGCTACAATAGCAACTCCTGCCCCATTTAATGTTCCCACCTTTTTTCCCCATTTCCCAATCAAATAAAAACACATCACCATCTCATACACCTTAAAGAATCATACCTCACCTCACAAACCCCCATTCATATTCCACCCTCACCGCCATCACAAATCCCCCCCCACCCCACCTCACAAACCCCCATTCAAATTCCACCCTCACCGCCATCACAAACTCTGTCCCCACTCCACACACAAATCCCCCCCCACCTCACTCACAAACTCCTCCCTCACACACCACATCCCAAAACCCCCCTCACAAGCCCACCCCCCACTCCACACAAAGAATCATCAGCCTCCTTATCTACAGGAGGATACTCACCATACTGTACGTGCACAGCCAGCTCTAAGAAAGATCAAACACAGCCCAGGTCAGTTGCATATTCAATCTGCCCTGGATGGGATGAGTTGATCAGAGCTCATGTTCGCCTGCTGAAGAACAGCCTCCGCTTGGAAAGTGCCATGGGGTAACCCCGCTGTCTGCCTGCGGAGTTGGCTTGCCGTCTGGAATAGCTACCATCTCTCCTCAGAACAAGGCCCTCGGTTCATGTTGGTGGCTACTCCTCAGTTTGAATCTCGAGTGTGCGGAGTTGCTGGGTTGATCCCCAGAGTCCCACAGGCAGAGGCTGGGCTCAGCAGCTGAACTGGCTTCTGCACGATGCCTGGTTCATGCTGGTGGGACGTAGTGAAGGGAAGTGGGAGGGTGACAAAGGGTAGGGAAGCCTGGTCTGTAGACCTGGGTCTCTCCAGTACTGCCACGAGACAGCAGTGACCCTGAAGAGAACCTAATGCTCAAATAAACTGGACGTAACAAACAGTCATTGTTATCACGTTATAGTCTCACTTTTCTCATTCACAGAGATGACCGTAATCAAGGCAATCATCATAAGGGTCTGTATTACAGGCAGTTCATTAGCTCAAGGTGAAAGGTCTGCAACAAGGGGAGCAGCAGCGCGCGCGCGCACACACACACACACACACCACTCACCAATTTCTGCAACATTCTCAAACTCAATACAACCAAGCCCCCTACATCTGTCCAAACAAAACACTCGCTAAATGTCAGATTAAGAACCAAGACGTTTATTGAAGGGAAGCAGTCACTGGTAGCCCCAATGCTAAAGCATATTTGCAGTGATATTACCAAGTGTCTGTCTGGTACAGACTGCTCCAAGTATGTGAAAATTCAGCACCTCTTCCAGGAGCACAGCTCTTCACATCTTCACCTGAACTTCCAGCAGTGAGCAGCAGCATTGGGAACATGAAAGCTTTTCCCACAGCTTGAGACCTTGTACAGATCCGATCCCTGTCTCATGTAGAATAAACCGACTTTCAACTCTCCAAGCCCCACATGTGAGGATGAGAAGGGGGCAGGGAGATAGACAGTGAGAGAGAGGGAGGGAGGGGTAGGGACAGAGAAAGTGGTGGGGTAGAGCAAGGGTCAAAAGGGATGGGGGAGGGGCGAGAAGGATAGAGCAAGGAGGGGAGGGCGAAGGAGGCTGCGAGAGAGAGAGAGAGAGAGAGAGAGAGAAAGAAGAAAAGAGCAGGAGAGATGCACAGTGACACATGGTGGAAATTACTAACACAATCCCCCTGCAAATGTCAGTCTGTGGTCAGTGCAGTGCAGAGTTTGCTTACTCAGCTGGTTGTGGTTACAGCTCAGACTATCAGACAGGTCAGCCCAGGGGCAGTGTGTTCTGCACAGTGCTCTGTCCAGGAGGCAGCATCTACTCTTTGGGTCACCATGATAAAGGACAGGCCAGTAGCAGTGAGAGTATGGGAGGGAGGGTGCTGCAGCTAGTCTCTCAGGGGAAATGGCAGAGGCACAGAACCACAGCCTCACCCTGCATGAACTGTGAGACAGCACTGGACAACTGGAAGATAGGCAAGACCAACATGGAGGCTCAACAGGATGGGAGCAGGGTGGGGAGGTGGAACCGGGGGAGCGAAGTGAGGGAATGAGGGAATGAGGGAATGAGGGAATGAGGGAATGAGGGAATGAGGGAATGAGGGAATGAGGGAATGAGGGAATGAGGGAATGAGGGAATGAGGTGGGGTGGGGTGGGGGAACCAGTAGAAGTCACACAGTTGATTTGTTTCAGAGGTGAATGAACAAAAGTGGGGGAGTGTTAAAGAGGGTTCAGTGACTGGCTCCCTTTAATAACATGACAGTTCATGTAACAAAGGGGAACTGAATGACCATCATCATTTACAACCCACACAAACTCTGTACAATATCTTCTTGTGTACGTTTCGATCTGTACAAGCTATTTATAGAGAATGTCATAATGTCCTGGCCTGTACAACAGGAAGACTCTGGGCTCCGAGCCCTCGGGGAAGATATGCTGGTTGGTTGAGTTTCCTTCGCCTCTGTCCATATATTCCACCCGGATTGAGGTGTTCAGAGCTTGCGCTAATGCGATGATGTGAATGTGGTCACTCTCCTTGGCCATTGGTTCCACTTCCTGGGAGGGGAACACGGAATGGGAAATAAATTTGGTAATCAATTCACCTGCCCCCAGTTTTCACAGCCTTCTCTCCCAGGAATGGGAAAACCAAGTGATCAACACTCCACTGCCTCCTCTCCTGATCTCGTGGACCTAGTGGGATCACCTCCCGTCACTTCCACTGTGCTTTCGGAGGGACCAACTCTCAGGAAAGAAAAGGAAGGGAGGTGCAAAACAGAATTACAAGAATAATACCAAATAGAGAGTGACTGAACAGACTTTGACAAAGATCAATTCAGGCTGAAAGATGACTTGGTAATACAGGATTTGAAAATGAAGAAAGGTTTCAATACAGTCGACACAGAGAAGTTGCTTCCTCTTGTGGGGGAAACTCCAAATTTGGCCACCAATATCAAACAGTCCCAAATAAATCCTACAGGGTGCTCAGGAGAAACAACCTTCCCAGCAGAGAGTGGGGAGAATGTGCTGCCAGGGGGAGTGGTCGAGGAGAATCAAATTGATCTGTTTGAGGAGGAAGCTGGATAAACACACAGGGCAGGGATAGTGTGACGAAGGGAGATAATGAGGAGACTGGGCAGTGAGAGGAAGCTTGTGTTGAGCAGAAATGCCAGCACAGAGTGGATGGGCTGAACTGCCCAGCATTCAACTGTCAGCCCCAGAACGGAGGAGAGTGCTGAACAGGATCAGTGCTCCCACCTCAGTTACTGGGAATGATCAGTTAGTGGCAGTGTCCATTGGATCTGTATAAATCCGATATCTGGGCACACATGGGTTGTGGGCAGAGAGAGGGAGAGGACAGACAGCATCTCAAAGAGAAGTAGGACGCATTTGATGCATGAGAGACCCTCACCTGCTGACAGAATTCCTTCACTGTGCGGCCTCCCTCAATGAAATGTTCAAAGAAAGCAGATTCTCGCTGAAGATAGCCTGAGGTGAGGAGTCTCAGGTAAACCACCAGGTAGTCAGACGTGCTCTGGTCATTAAACGCTGTCATCAGGTTAGACAATGAACCCTGCTTCTCTACTAGGTCAATCACATCCATAAACTACAAATCAAACAGGGAAACGGACTGTCAAAACAGACTGCCATCCTTATCCAAGCCAATATTACATTCTGACAGAACCCCCTCATGGTACTCAATACTGCTGCTTCTGAAAGGTAGCATGAAGCTTACAGATGGCAGAACATCTCCTGCACATACCTTTAAATTTACTAACCAGAGACTGTATCAGTTAAACCATTACATCCTTCCCCTATAAAACAGCACCTCTTCACCTTCTCATCGCAACAGGAGGCCATTCAGCCTCCCTCCCCAAGCCTATAACACAGAAACAGACCACTCAGCCCCTCTCCTTGAGCCCATAATGCAGGATCAGGAGGCAGCCACTCATTCTATTGAGTCTGTTACAAAGGAACAGGAAGAGGCCACTCAGCCCATTGAACCTGCTACAAAGGAAAGAGAGGGGGCCATTTAGTGAGATTACAGCCACATTGTGTTGATGGTAGGCTGTTAATTTACAGATTCCCCCCACACCACAAACACACACAAAGGTCACATAGCATGTGTATGCTGACACACAGCAACAACAGCATGAGGCAAGCATAGCCACACTGACCGTGTTGTGGAAATCCTCGATTGTGAATTCAGTGAAGCCCTGGGTCACCAGGTCCTCTTTGCTCTTTGAGGCGATAGCTTTAAATCTGCAAAGATAAAAGTGGCAGAAATCATTGGGAAAGAATTTGCTAGTTTTTAACTGAACGAGGCAGACTCCAACATTCTCTGATAAGAGTTTCTGGCCACTGCATAACAGATAAAGACAGGCCAAGTGGGCGGGGCGGGGCGGGGCGGGGCGGGGCGGGGCGGGGCGGGGCGGGTGGGTAAAAGGGGAGGCATGTGGAAAGGTCTCTATTTCAAAGGGAATGAAGTATTAAAAATAGGGAGGTTTTGCAAAAACGAGACTTTGCTAAAATGCTAGAATAAAGTAGACAGTTTTGGTATCCTTATCTAAGGAAAGGTAGACTCCCCTTGGAGGCAGCCAGAGAAGATTCACACAACTGATCCTAGGTATGGAAGGATAGTCTTATGAGGTGGCGAGTAGGTTGGACCTCTACTCATTGGAGTTTAGAAGAATGACAGACGACCTTATTTAAACATATAAAATGTATTAGCAGATTTGATAGGGTAGATGCAGGAAGGTTGTTTCCCCTTGTGGGAGAGTCTAGGACCACAGGCCATAATGTCAGATTAAGGGGCTGCATATTTAAATCAGAGATAAGGAGGAACTTCTTCTCTCAGAAGGTAGAGTGTCTGTCGAATTTTTTTTACTGCAGAGGGCTAAAGAGGCTGGGTCATGAAGTATATTCAAGGATGAAAGAGATTTTTAATTAGTATGGGGAATTGAGGGTTATGGGGAATTCGCAGGCAAGTGGCATTAAGGATGATCAGAGCAGCTATGATGGGCTGAATGGCCTACATCTGGTCCTACGTTTTATGGATCTCGGGTGTTTTGGGCACGGAGCTGTTTGGGGGCTGGGTATTGTCAGGAACGAGTTACTCTGGGAGAATCATACTTTTGTAACTGTTTGCTGTCCTCGAGGAGAGCCTCCAGATGTGCAAAACCAAACGCTCGATAGAAACAGTTGCCATCTGGTCTGGTCTTCCGTATACAGCAATAACGTTTGTGCAGGTCCTGGGAGAGGAAAGAAACACAGGGATATAAGAGGGGCCCAGGCTGCTGCTTATGGGGTCCCCCCGCCCTCATGGGGACAGGCTGCTGCGTACAGGGTCCACCCGCCCTCACAGGGACAGGCTGCTGAGTACATGGTCCCCCCGGTCCTCACGGGGACAGGCTGCTCTGTATCAGGGTCCCCTCCCCACTGCACTGGGATGCTGTGTAAACTGCAGCAATGTCTGCGTGGAGACAGGATGCTCTCGGACAATGTAAGGGAAACTTCCTGCCCACTGCACAGACACAGCAGAGAAAGCAGTTCACACTCTGGTGTCTGGGTCTACCAACCCACTGATAGATACCAGTGTGATACCCTTCAGGGTCAAATATCCCACTAGGTGGCTCAGTCTCAAAAAGATGCCACCCAAATTGTTTTGTAAAGTCTGGGAGGAGGCAGACTATAAACATTTTGACCAAGAACGGCATCAAACTGGAGGAGTAAAAGTGAGAATTGCTGGAGATGTGCAGAGCTACATCACAACTCACTGGTATCTAGAAACAGGAGCAGGGCAACACAAGCCCAGGTTGTGAAACACACCCACCCGCTGCCATAGGGGTCAGCGCAGAGGGAGCGCCGCGCTGCTGGAGGGTCGGCGCCGAGGGAGTGCCAACCTATGAAAGTTTCTGCCTGCCCACCAGTTTGTGCAGCCAGTGTTCAATGAAGAGTAACAGCCAGTCCAGGATAGCAGGGACTTACTAATGAAAACAACTCCCAAGATTAACCGGAGTGGGGATCAGGGGCTGGGGTTTATAAAAGCCAGGCCATGTCTCTCCACCACTTTCCAGCAACAACGTTCTCAGTATACCTCTCCCCAGCCACAATAACCTCTTGATGCAGAAAATACACTTACCTTGACTTTTAACTGATAGACCTGGTCATCCTCAGCGTACTCTTTGTAAAGCACAGACAGCTCTAACTTCTCTGACACCAGTGGGTTTGTTGTGGCTATCTGTCAGAACAATAAAGGGTCACAAGTTGAGTTGGCAATTCTAAGCCACACGCTGACAGGCTTAGAAACCTCGTCTGGGTCAAAACTCAATTCCCCAGCCATTTTCCTGCACTCCTTTAGATTCCTGACCCAGATGAAGGATGGAGCTTAAAGGTGTTGTTAGGAGCCACTACCTAAGAGCTGCGTGAGAGAAGAGGAGATGGGATGGCAGGGAAGTTAGGGAAGACATGCGAGGGTGGGGCAGGACAAGGAGGAAAAGTGTGAATAAGATCGGGAAAGCAAACCCAATGGGTCACTGCCATGGCGGGAAGAAGTGATAGCAGGGAACTGACTCAGCTCCCCAGTCAGCGACTTGTGTCTTATCACAGGTATGACCAGTCCACCGGTGGTTCCCCTTGGGAGGGGCATCACTGCCAGACCCAGGACTGGGGGTAGGGAGTCACTGCCGGACCGGGACCAGGATGGGTAGGGGATCACTGCCGGACCGGGACCGGGACGGGTAGGGGATCACTGCCGGACCAGGACCGGGACGGG